ATTATAACTAAATTCTCCACTTTTAGCCGTAACAGTACTCTTTCTAACTTCCTTAAAGTTGTTGTTAGCTGATGTATCCCTTGCATGTGAAAGCCTATGGTGCTTCTGAAATACTGCTGCCATTTCCCACAATATACACTTCTCTTTATCTATTACATATACTTTAATCATGATTGCCTCTAATTTTTTCTCCAACCTACAAACTCTACATAAAGATTTTACATCTTCATTGATGGCATAATAAATATCTTAGCACCAAACATCGGGGGAGATGAATCCTAAAAGTTGTGATCTGTTCAGGTTGACTACAGAATCTGTTCTAGAACCCAAAATTTCCAGGAGCAGATGTATTCTTTGAGGGTCTGAATATGCAACCAAATGGTGGTGGCAGGCTAAATCACATAGTTCCAACAACCATGGGTGCCAAGACATAGCTGTCCCTTCACGTAACTGAGCAGTAAACTGCCCTGCATGAACCGCAATATCAATGGATGGAGGGAGAGGTTCCATCAACAAAGGTGCAGGCTCAAACAACTGGGGAAAGACCCAAAACATCACACACTCAATGGACCAACTGAGGCAGATGATCCCAAAGTGGCCTTCTGAGAAGCCTACAGAATAAAGGAAGGTGCAGGAAAAAGGAAATCTAAGTTTTCTCCAGAATGTCCAAAATAGCCCTCAACTGCAGCCTCAGAGCCCTCTGGAGAAAGACCACCATACCAAATATATGTCTCTATTTCACTACAAATAAGCTCACTGACAGTCTCAACTGAGAGTGCCTCCCCCATTTTGAGTGACACTAGATATCAAAGGTGAAATAGGAGAGACCTGATTTGCCTCCTTACCAGGAATTCATGCCATATATTGGCTTGCCAAATTAAAAAACAAACCTTTTTTTTTCTTTTTAAGAAAATCAACTAGGTAACACAAAAAAAACCTCAAAGTATCTCCAATGGTCATAGTACAGAGAAACCTGTTAGTGAATGCTTTGTCAAAAAAAAAGTGACAATATTATCCGATTGAGGTACTTATATACAGATACAGTACCAGGATAGAGGGCGCATTAACGTAAGTGGAGAGTGTCACGTGACAGATATCACCACTAGCAATTAGGTGTGGAATAAAAGAAAAGACCAAGTGAGAAAAATTCAGACTAATGTTTAGATGGGCAAAGGAAGGAAAGCTTAGCAGTCAAATAATAGCTGTAGTGTGAGCAGAGGTAAGTATGATGTGGAAAACTTTAAATCAGATTTTTTGGTGTATAACAGACTTGTAATATTTTCTGACAGTATGCTAAATTTTGTGAAGATACACATCCTACACTCAGAATTATAGTTCACTATTATGTATAGCTTCACAAATACAGAGCTGATCAATCTGACTGAGCCTGTGAACAGATGGTGCTGCTATATTAATTTTATTTTACGTCTAATTTTCAAGCATAGTTTTGTTCTCCAAAAATATGGGTATGTTTTTATTGATTATTAACAGTTAAGAGTGAAAAGGTGTCAAGGAATGACAGTTTCATTTTGTGTGGTGATGAGTAAAACAATTAATAATTGGTTACTGTGACTGGCAGTGATTTTTCCTAGTGGAAAGACTGTAAATAAATGCAAGTTATAATTATGTACACCATAAATATTTTGGGACTGCAAAAGCATTTCAAAACTCACCTACTAAAGCCCTAAAAACTTTAGGGTTTGCATACTGCTCCATTTCCCTTAGCCACATTGGTAGACAATCAAATGATGGTTGTGATGAGATGTCATAAACTAACACCAAAGCATGAGCACTTCTATAATAGCTTTGTGTGATGGAACGGAACCTTTCTTGACCAGCCGTATCCCAGATCTGGAGCTAAAGAATAGAAATACAAAATATTAAAAATTAAATCATAAGTTATGATAATCAGAAAATATGTTCTAAAAAACACATGCAAGTGCTCTCATTAAATCACAAATTAATATCTGCAGCATTACTATGTAAAATAACTTCTTTCATGCTTTTAATTCTATTATGTTTCTAAAATACTATCGTATAATTTCAACTATCAACTTGATATTATAATCTCTTTCAATACTTAAAATGTTTATTCAATAAATGAAAATAACAAACAGTTTATAAATTAATTACTTTACCACACACTGCACGAAGTTGATCTTAGGGAAATGTAATTCCACATTTTAAGATTTAATTTGTTTTTTCAAAACAAACAAAACAATTCCTTTTATACAAGATTCAAATACACACTAAAATTAACAGGAACGTAAACATAACCAATGGAATATTGCATGGATTTTCATGTATGTAGCAAAATTTCCATTAAAAATAATAATAAAATTTATTCACATTCAAAATCTGATTTCTAACTAGTTCTAATAAAAAAAAAGCTTGATAACTTTTGTTGAATACAACACAATCTTTTATTGTAAATTAACCCCATTTTGCAATTTTCATTTTGACAGTAGTCAGTCTTTTCCAGCATTCTTCTTTCTGTGTCAAGTTGATTGATTATTCTAGGTTTAAATTTCCAATTCTGTTTTGTTCTTTCATTGTAACTTTCAAGACTTGAAGAAAACTAATACCTTGAAAGAATTGGCTTTTGATCTTGGTATCATAATTCTCATCCCACCTAAATTTGAATTTTTTTTTCAGCTTGAAATATTTTCTTCTTTCAAGTATCAGTCAGTGAGAATTTCCTGCATGTCATTAGTTTCTTTTCATGCTGACCAGTGTTTCTTTTAAATATTGAGAAGGTATTTTCAGTTGCAATTTTTTCATAGTGGAATGGTGCCATTTTGGTCTAAATTGGTAGAATAGCACAGCTACTTGGCATACGTTTAAGTATGATCTTGAATGAGATTTGTTACATTAAATTCAAGTATATGTTTTTTCTTCTCAGTTTGAATGATTTGATTTTTTTTGGTCTTAAAAAATGAGCGCATAAAAAGTATTGTTTATAATAAAGATGATATATTAGTTTTGCTTTCAAAAGTAGATGAGGGATCACTACAGGTAGTCAGCCTAAAGCTCAAGTTTTATGTGGTTTGAAATCATGTAAACAAAATAAAGTGTGTCCTTACATTTGGTTCTGTAAAATCATATGACCTTATGTTTGTTTAGGCATAAGTAAGTTAATGCTGTAAACTGTACAAAAAATTATACTAGAGGAAGTTGCTTTATATCAAAAACATTTTTGTGACACTATATTAAGCTTCTTTAACTGACATTAAGTGATAATCAGTAAATCAATACACTCTCTTAAATACAAATAAATACACCTAATAAAAAACATTTTCAACAGACTGAAGTTTTGATTACGACATTATTTATAACCTTAATAATATCAGGTCTTTCAAACCAATTAAAATAAGTATAATATAAAACCAGCTTGAATATGTATAATTTCTACTTTTTCAAAGTCATAAAAGTATTATGAAAAAAGGATGAAAGCAATGATTAAGGGCAATAATTTAAAAAAGAATATATTTCAGTATATGTCATAACCAGAAGAACTAAGGGCCAACACTCTATGCATGGGAGAATGAACTGATGAAATGACCACAGAACCCACTATAATATCTATATACACTTTAATATCCCAATAAGCTAAGGATAAGAGGAGACACTTTTGTTCTCAAAATTATTCTAAATCACATAAATCATGGTCTGCAGGTTATAGACATAATTTATGAGCTTTATATGAAAAATTTGAAGTCACACAGATATCATGGCCTGTAGTACATCACCGATTACTTTAAATGTCCTTTTCTCAAAAATGTCAATATAAGAAAATAATAAAACATTCATTACTGAACCATCCATGTACAAAACATAAATAAAAGAAAGAGCAATTTAATAATTGTAATCCCTATACTTTTTGTTTTTTTATGAAATTACGTTTTTAACATGTATTACTTGTTTACTCCTTGTATTTTACAGTCCATTTCTAATAGTGCAAGATATTCATCACATCGATATTCTGAACAAGAGTTAGGGCTATAGAGTTCCTGATGTAAAGGAAGCATGATGACTCAAAGGTCAGTCTCTTTGGATAATTGTCAAAACCTCAGTTCAATATCAAATGAACACAGAAAAAGTCTTTCTAACTACTTTACCAAGTTCAGTATTAATAAAAAGGAATAACCATTATGTAATACCTTCTACTACATAAGAAGAGCTGCCAAAACTCCACAAGAATAATTACATTTAACAATAAATAGTCTTAATTATGAGCAACAGGAAAGCTACAAAAAGCTTTTATGATCACTCTGCCTTTGATCATCAGTTTAGTACCCTCACTGCTAGTGGTATTTTTTCCCGTAATGTTATTTCAATTACATTGATTCTCTCTGACATTCCTAGTTAAGGAAAAGGTTTTCTCAGTTTGTCAAACAATGACCAAGCATGGTTAATGAAGTCTGGAAAGTGTCTTGCTGTTAGTGTTAGTAAGAATCTAATCAAAAACACCTTAGGTGTGAAAAAAGGTGCAGCCAAAAAAAAAAAGCATTGAGCATGCAAATTAAAGGAATGAAACCAACATTGGCAGCCATACTGGCAGCTACACTTATAGCATTGATAAAAACTTTACAGCAAATATTCATTCGTTAGTTAGCCATGCTGCATTTTGTGTTCAACTTGAGGCATAATGGTGGATAAAACAAAATATGTGGCCTAGCTAACTAATAATGAATATTTGCTGTAAATTTTTATCATTGCTATAAGTATAGCTACCAGTTTTGCAGCCAATTTTAATTTCATTCCTTTAAGTTGCCCATTCAATCCTGTTTTGGTCGCACCTTTTTTTCACACCTAAGGTGTTTTTGATTAGATATGACTTTTTGACAATACACACCAACAAACCACAGCAAGTAAGAAAGTAACATTCACAAAGTAACAAACATTAGCTTTAAGATCACACAACCCTATTATTTGAAACAGACCTATACTTTACAAAACAAAGCAGATTCTTTAAAATATATGGTGGTAGTTTTTCCTCTCTAAAACAGTGTTAATAACTTCCTTTATAGTAATGCCATGGAATACAGATTAAAAGATTCTTGTCATCACCTCACGTATTTGGTACAGCCATATCAATTTTGAAGAACTCATAAAAGTTAAGCATGTTTTTCTATCAAATAAAGTTTCCAAAAAAGGCAAAATTCAATCAAAATTGGAAATTTTGTATCTCGTGTATTTCTTAATGGATTGCCTTGAAATTTGGTACGTGAAGTAAGGGTCCAGTAGAGCACAACTACTGAAAATATATGATAGTTTGGACTACTATAGTCTGAGCTATAGAAACTGGAAGATTGCTAAACTATCACTCCTGTTAATAACACACAGTGTGTCCTATAGGGTGTTTTGCTCACAAGACACACAAGTAGTGTGTCTTGATCCTTGGGTCTTCCAATATCTGTGGCTTGTTTCAAATTATAAGATATTTTTAAAACTATATATATACTATACTTGACCATTATATGGTCTTATATTTACAAAATTACTATAAATTACTCCAAAAAAGATGGTTCATTACAAAAAAGATGTTATACAGTAGGGTTGAATACAGTGAATATTTTTAAGTTGTACAGTCAAGACTTGCTCAAACACCAAATTCTGTTCATGTGAGAAATAAAAAAGACAAAAGAACTCCTACTGTTTGAAAGGAATCTTTCTAACACAGTTACATTGTGAAAAGAAAAAAGAAGGTAAAACGTAATATGTCCTTGCTAATTAACAAATATATATGTTTGGTAGTGTTAAGAAAGCATATGGCAACATATTGGTATTTTTTTATGCTGGTAAATGAGTCTATCATCGTTATGAGTCAAATCATCATTAGAGATGTTTGTTTTAGACATGTATGTGACAATAAAAGAATGCACTATAGATTTGATGGTCATCTTTACTGTAAATGAAAAAAAAGGACATGAAGATTTTTTTTAGTAATTGGCTTGAATACAAAGATCAAGAACGTTTACTTACACTAGTAAACCTGTGGATCTGTGGCCCACATTTACAGGGCCACTGTAATGCAAATTGAGTGCTTGAACTACTATTCTGCACTTTTTCAGTTTAGTGATCATTGCCATTATAATGCAAATTTAATTTCTTTAACCAAGTTACAAATGATAATTAGTAGGCCTTCTTATTTATGTGTTTTAATGTAAATCAATGCCAACTTTGGGGTCCACTTTCTAGGAATCTCCGTAACAAGATTTTCACAAAATACCCAGGTTCCATTAGGGGTTGAAGGAAAAGTTTTACATTTGTGCAAATCTTGGGCCGAGACAATTCATTTGGCACCATTCAAAAGTTGGAGAGTGTAGCAGTTTAAGAGAAGGGATTTTTTGGGAAATCCCCGAGTTCCCTAAGAGGTGAGATGAAAAATTTTCCCTTTGTGTAAACCTCAGAACTAAGACAATTCATTTGGTATCACTTACAAATCAGTGCAACCAATGGTTTAGGAGGAGTTACATGACACAAACACAGACACTGAATCTTATATTTATGTATATTTTTCATGAGCATATATAAACACAAATTTTATTAAAAAACAGAAAGATAAAAAAAACTTAATCATTAGCATTACGTTATTAGTTGATTATGTAAGTTACACATCATAAGAGAGGTAAATATGTCCACAAGATCAACACCACAAGGAAGAGCTACAAGAGAAACAAGGTTATTACTTAATCATTATCATATGCCACTCAGCCCTCACATGCCAGCTTTTATGTTTTCCAACATATTACTACATCCAGGCCTTTCAAATATGTAGCTGTAGTTACATGATGAACTACAATAGTGAGTTTCTTTCCCACCAGTCTTATTAGCTACAACCAAGGAATCATTTTAGATTTTTTAGACTTATTTTATATTCTAGCTTGTCAATATAGATAATTTGAGTTTCTTATTTGTACAAAACTATAAACTTTTTATTTTGACATCACATCTAATTTGAACCAGTGCTGCATTCAACATACCACAAAAATCTATGTTTAGGTGTTTTTTTAATATTTACTTTTAAATTAAGAAATTAAATAATGTATAATATGAAAATTTGAATTATAATCTACAGTTTGATACCAAACTTAAAGACATAAATTCATAAAATAATAGTTCAATAAAATTTGAATGCAAGTCAAAAAATGCAATGACATGGCCTTTGACCCATGT